GCCTTTCTGAGTGGAGTTTGCATGTTCTCCCCGTGTCTGCGTAGGTTTCCTCCGGGTACTCCGGTTTCCCCTACCACTAAAAATATGTCCAATAGTTCTGGCATGCGCTTCCTGTACTGGCGACCCCGCTCCCATCTCTGTGTGGAGTGAGAGACAAATGCCCAAAATTAACAATTGTAAACAGCTTTGAGACTCAGATCTGCAGTGAAAAGGCGGTATATAAATAAAAACTTACTTACTTACTTACTTACATAAAGACACAGGTGCATACAGACACAGGTACATACAGACACAGGTACATACAGACACAGGTGCATACAGACACCGGTACATACAGACACCGGTGCATACAGACACAGGTACATACAGACACAGGTACTTACAGACACAGGTACATACAGACACAGGTACATACAGACACAGGTGCATACAGACACAGGTACATACAGACACCGGTGCATACAGACACAGGTACATACAGAGACAGGTGCACACAGGTACATACAGACACAGGTACATACAGACACAGGTGCATACAGACACAGGTGCATATAGACACAGGTGCATACAGACACAGGTACATACAGACACAGGTACATACAGACACAGGTACATACAGACACAGGTACATACAGACACAGGTACATACAGACACAGGTGCATACAGACACAGGTACATACAGAGGCAGGTACATACAGACACAGGTGCATACAGACACAGGTGCATACAGACACAGGTGCATACAGACACAGGTGCATACAGACACATGTACATACAGACACAGGTACATACAGACACAGGTACATACAGACACAGGTGCATACAGACACAGGTACATACAGAGGCGGGTACATACAGACACAGGTGCATACAGACACAGGTACATACAGACACAGATGAAACACATCAGGGCAGGGCTAACAATCAACAGGGAACAGGAAGTAAAACTAAAACCAAACCACCGAGAACTAATGTTAAAATAAATTCAAATACAGAAATACTGAAGATGTTTATTTAGTATGTTTTTAAATGACACAAAAAGGGAAGTGCTGTGCTCTGAGCTCATGAACAGGTCATGTGGTCTGTGAAAGGCAGTATATAAATAAGTACCTGTCTGTACTTATTTTCCGATAATGACCTGCGTAATATACATTACCCCTATCCCTAACGTAAACAGTTTACTCAGGTGTTCTGCATTGTTGCCAGACAAAAGCTAATACGGGACTTATGGATGATAGAATGGATGAATACTGTACATGATATATGAATGAAGTCATTAGTAAATGTATGTAAATGTGTACACACACAGACAGACACACACACACACACACAGACACAAACACACAGACACATGCACACACGTCTATATTTTACTAATTGATTTATTTTTCAGATGAAATTGTTGGATGTGTTAGAGATGGTGAATCAAGAGGAGTGACCTCATCTGACTCTCAGGGTTGTCCTCGCAGGTGACAGAGATGTTGTGGTCTGTCAATGGGTCCTCTGTCCAGGCCACACAAATAAAATAAAAAACTAAATTGTGGCCATCAGCGATGGTGAAACTGTCCAGATACTAACCGTTTTCGCTAATAAGGCACAAGACTTGGATGCAGGAAAAACATATTTATTTGGAGATGATGTTGTGAGAGGCAGCGACAGAGGGAAGTATTCGACACCTGTGTCATGGAGACTGTGCAAACGGAGGTTAGTTCTATCCTTCACAAACTCCTGCACATAGACACAGAGAATATATACATCATCCCTGTAAAGAAACACAGGAAGACAAAGAACAAATGCAAATATTATTAGAAATGTTATATTCTAAAACATGAAACGTGTAAATATTACTATTATTATATTGTTATTTCTTCTCTAACTTTCAGATATCTGAGGAAATGATTCAGTTGGGCAAAACTCTGCTGAAGTTGTACCTCTTGGTACCCCTCACATTGGTGAGGGGTGGTTGACCATTAGTGGTTCAGTCACAGAAGTGAGTTATACGTGTACGTGCACGCACACATGTGTGCACACACACACACACATATGTTAATCAGTTAAATGTTGGCACTATGACACAATTGTAAGCCTAATATAAGAAAAATGATTTTGTTTTACTCTTGAGCGTGTGCATGTGCAGGGATGCATAAAATGTATTGAAATTTTATTTCATTTTTACAGATATTTTCAACAAGAATGGAGACAGTGAAAGGCAAATCAGTGCCATTACGAGGTGTGTGTAAATGTATGTTTGCTCATATTGTCATTTATTTCATTTTAGAAAGGTGTCATAAAATGCCTCACACTATGGAGAGAATCCATTCTACACACTTTGAACTTTGGAGCCCAAATCTCTGTCACCGGTGAACGAGGAGAGGCTTCTGACCACGGATAGATATGGGTCATCAATACACTCAAAGATTACAGTAAGTGACAAACTACACCGAATCAATATTGACACAAACCTCACGCTGCACACACTATGTTCACAGTATGCTCACACACAGAAACACACCCTGCTCTAACACCTCTCTCTGTCACACAAACACACACTGGCGGCACGGTGGCTGAGTGGATAGCACTCTCGCCTCTCAGCAAGAAGGTCCTGGGTTCGAATCCCGGTTGGACCAGGGCCTTTCTGAGTGGAGTTTGCATGTTCTCCCCGTGTCTGCGTAGGTTTCCCTCCGGGTGCTCGGTTTCCCCTACCACTAAAAAATATGTACAATAGGTCTGGCATGTGCCTCCTGTACTGGTGACCCCACTAGCAAAATTCACCAATGTAAACCGCTTTGAGACTCGATGTGCAGTGAAAAGGCGGTATATAAATAAACATTACATAAACACACTCCCTGCTCTAACACCTCTCTCTGTCACACAAACACAGACTCCCTGCTCTAACACCTCTCTCTGTCACACAAAACACCTCCAGCTTCACCTCTCTCTGTACACAAACACACACTCCCTGCTCTAACACCTCTCTCTGTACACAAACACACACTCCCTGCTCTAACACCTCTCTCTGTCACACAACAACACCACATCCCTGCCTAACACCCTCTCTGTCAACAAACCCACTCTGCTTACTCCTGCACTATAACAACCACACATCTCTATGTCTCTGTCACAAAAACCACACTCTGCTCCAACTGCTCTAACACCTCTCCCTGTCACACACTCTCAAACACACACTCCCTGCTCTAACACCTCTCTCTGTCACACAAACACACACTCCCTGCTCTAACACCTCTCTCTGTCACACAAACACACACTCCCTGCTCTAACACCTCTCTCTGTCACACAAACACACACTCCCTGCTCTAACACCTCTCTCTGGCTGAGTTTACACAGAGACAATGTGGCAGTAAAACACTATTGTTGGATGTCGGTTTCTACCAACCGTTCATACGAAGACTGTGTTGCATTGAAACCCGACGCAACGCATGATCCGGTCTGAAAGCACCATAAGACTCACAAACCTCTCTGTCACACAAACACCTCGCTCTAACACCTCGCTGTCACACACACCTCGCTCTAACACCTCTCTGTCACACAAACACCTCGCTCTAACACCTCTCTGTCACACACACACCTCGCGCTAACACCTCGCTCTGTCACACAAACACACACACCTCGCTCTAACACCTCTCTCTGTCACACAAACACCTCGCTCTAACACCTCTCTCTGTCACACAAACACACACACCTCGCTCTAACACCTCTCTCTGTCACACAAACACCTTGCTCTAACACCTCTCTCTGTCACACAAACACCTCGCTCTAACACCTCTTTCTGTCACACAAACACCTCGCGCTAACACCTCGCTCTGTCACACAAACACACACACCTCGCTCTAACACCTCTCTCTGTCACACAAACACCTCGCTCTAACACCTCTCTCTGTCACACAAACACCTCGCTCTAACACCTCGCTCTGTCACACAAACACACACATTTTGTATGCATCTATCTTCATGAAAATTATTTGAGTTAATTGAAGATTTGTCTATAATTTCAGATCCATTCTCCATCACAGGTCAACGTCAAAGTCATGGGCATGGTCAAACGTGGCCCGAAGATGTTGATTATTGATGGTACTAAATTGTACCATGTGGAAAACCAACACTGGATAGAAGGGAATGTGAAGGTGCCTTTTCACATCGAGGCAGTAGTGTCAGGGGAAGACATTTTAACGTACACCTTCATCCACCCTGTTCCCCAACAACCTCTGCCATAAGCCCCTCCTGCTCCCACTTCTGCCCCCTCCTGGACACTGCTGTTGGGACCACTGGCTTATTAAACTTTTGAATGAAAGTGTTGTTGTTACTTAAGGCTCCGCTTCAGGATCAGACACATTGTTTCAGTTACTGAAACATCTCACGGCGCCACCTGCAGGTGAAACCAAACCTTGATTCTGAGTCAATATTATTGACAGTGGTCTCCCATCACTGACCAGCATTAGACCTGCTTAGCTTTAAAGATTTGAGGCCAGTCATTATTCCCTCACTGTCGACACAGTTTTCTAGTTTTCTCCTGCGTGTGTTTGGCCTTTTTTACAAACAAGAAAACTAACCTAAAGCTTCAAATAGTGACTCACTGGGAAAGAGGAGAGAGGGAAGAAAGAAGAGATGGGAGAGAGGGAAGAGAGAGATGGGAGAGAAGGAATAAAGGAGAGGTGGGAGAGAGGGAAGAGAGGAGAGTCCCACAGCGTGCAGGTGTAACCACTGTGTTCGTGCAGCAGATGGCGCTATAGGGCAAGGTTTAGAGCTGGAGGATGGATTTGTCTCCTCCTCCCCCTCTCTCTCCCCCTCTCCCCCTCTCTCTCTCCTCACTCGTGCTCCGGTCCTCACTACATCCCAGACACCGGCGCGATGCACGTGTCCCAAAGCGGGAACCACCCACCGCGGACAGCCCCCTCCCCTTGGGTATCGGTCCGAGCCCCCCACACCGCCCGAGCATGAGGACCTCCTGAGGCCGGTCTGAGAGAGCCCGCGGAGGCAGAGCATGGAGCCAGGGGCCGCCGAGGAGGAGCTGTCCCGCTTCCCTGACGAGGAGCTGCTGCGCTGGGGGAAGGAGGAGCTGGTGAGGAGGCTGCGGAGGACCGAGGCCCAGAGGAGGGCGGTGATGCTGGAGCACGGCAGCCTCATGAGGGAGGTCAACCGGACACTGCAGAAGCACCTGACGGAGATCCGCAGCCTCAAGGTGAGAGGGGAGGGGGAGGAGGGGTTAAAGCTGGGGGACCTGACTTTACAACCACAAACAATGAACTGTGTGAAATCCTCGCTCTCCAAACGGTTTGCTTTTCTCTCTATCACAGCAAGTTTACACAGCGACTCAAAGGGCTGAACTAAAGATAAAAAAAATCACACAAGGCGTTAAAATCCTAAACTATCACAGTGCATTAAAAACAGTAGAGATACAATCCCTCAGTTGTTTTAACCTGGATTAGTCTGTCACACATTTTTCCATTTCCGTCACCACATTGTTCCAGATTTTAGCTGCATGAATCTGAAATGTGGCCTCCTCATGTTTAGTCCTGACTCAGGGACCAGCAGGAGGCCAGTCCCTGTGCTCCTCAGAGTCCCAGCAGGAGGCCAGTCCCTGTGCTCCTCCGAGTCCCAGCAGGAGGCCAGTCCCTGTGCTTCTCAGAGTCCCAGCAGGAGGCCAGTCCCTGTGCTCCTCAGAGTCCCAGCAGGAGACCAGTCCCTGTGCTCCTCCGAGTCCCAGCAGGAGGCTCGTCCCTGTGCTCCTCAGAGTCCCAGCAGGAGACCAGTCCCTGTGCTCCTCAGAGTCCCAGCAGGAGGCCAGTCCCTGTGCTCCTCAGAGTCCCAGCAGGAGACCAGTCCCTGTGCTCCTCCGAGTCCCAGCAGGAGGCTCGTCCCTGTGCTCCTCAGAGTCCCAGCAGGAGGCCAGTCCCTGTGCTCCTCAGAGTCCCAGCAGGAGGCCAGTCCCTGTGCTCCTCCGAGTCCCAGCAGGAGGCCAGTCCCTGTGCTTCTCAGAGTCCCAGCAGGAGGCCAGTCCCTGTGCTCCTCAGAGTCCCAGCAGGAGACCAGTCCCTGTGCTCCTCCGAGTCCCAGCAGGAGGCTCGTCCCTGTGCTCCTCAGAGTCCCAGCAGGAGACCAGTCCCTGTGCTCCTCAGAGTCCCAGCAGGAGGCCAGTCCCTGTGCTCCTCAGAGTCCCAGCAGGAGGCCAGTCCCTGTGCTCCTCCGAGTCCCAGCAGGAGGCCAGTCCCTGTGCTCCTCAGAGTTCATATGGCACTATCATCACACCATGAAACAGACATGTGTAACAGCAGGTGAATAGCAATGAACAGACTGCAGCTGAAGTCATAATGATGACAGATAAAGTAGGAAGAGTTCCCATCTGTGTACAGAACATGGACCACACTGCTGACCTTCCTCCACACTATTTGACTTTTGCACAAAAATCATATTCAAAGTTTGTTTGTTTAGAATTTTTTTCCAATATATTCAAATATTTCATCATTAATAATGTATCACAGGCTCCTCACAGCAGCAGCAGAACGCTCCATTGATTTGAACGTCATTTCAAAACGTTCTGCCAGTCATTATTTGGTAACGGACCTCTCCAACCAATAATGACCACTGCTCTTTGGCAACGCACTCTCTAACCATTAACATGAAAAGAACATTTCAGGACACATCTGCAGAGGATCTGATTATGGATATAGGTTCAGTATATAAATGATTATGGATATAGGTTCAGTATATAAATGATTATGGATATAGGTTCATATATAAATGTTTCCTCCCTTTTTCCTCAGGACGTGAACCAGAAGCTGCAGGAGGATAACCAGGAGCTGAGAGACCTGTGCTGCTTCCTGGACGACGACCGTCAGAAAGGGAAGCGAGTGTCGCGGGAGTGGCAGCGCCTCGGCCGCCTCAGCGCTGGCATCATGCGCAAGGAAGTCACTGTGTATCTGCAGAAACTACAGCAGCTGGAGACCAAGCAGAAGGAGGTGCTGCAGGAGAACCTGGAGCTCAGAGAGGTGAGAGAGAGGGGAGCGAAGGGAGAGAGAGAGAGTGAAGAGAGAGAACGCAGGAGGGGGGAGAGACAAAGGGGGTTGGGAGAGAGGAGAGAGAGAGAAGGGAGAGAGACAAAGGGGGTCGGGAGAGAGGAGAGAGAGAGAGAGGGGAGAGAGACAAAGGGGGTCGGGAGAGAGGAGAGAGAGAGAAGGGAGAGAGACAAAGGGGGTCGGGAGAGAGGAGAGAGAGAGAGAGGGGAGAGAGACAAAGGGGGTCGGGAGAGATGAGAGAGAGAGAAGGGAGAGAGACAAAGGGGATTGGGAGAGAGTAGAGAAGAGAGAGACAGAGGGGAGAGAGAGTGAAGAGAGAAGAGGGAGAACGCAGGAGGGGGGAGAGAGAAGATGGAGGGAGGGAGAGGGGGGGTAGAGGAGAGTGTTCCTGTATTGGATGTGTTGATGGAGAACCTGGAGCTCAGAGAGGGGAGAGAGAGGGGAGAGACAAAGGGGAGAGAGGAGAAAGTCCAAGAATCCAAATCCTAATCCATTATAACAAATGTAAAATATGACTGGGGCTATATACTTTTTTAACCTTTTTCTTTTCCTCTAAAATCCTCCCGTGGTGTTTTCCCTGAGACTTTGATCTTTGGGCTCTAACACTGGGATTCCTTATTTGTTTTTAGTCCGTGTCTCAACATCTTTCCTGTGTATCTCTCCTGTGTGTGAAATAAACACAAACAGGTGTGTGCGATGCTGGAGGAGGAGCGGGCGGCTGCTGCGGCTGCTGCGGCGGGTTGCAGGAGCTCCGTGGACAGTCAGAGCAGTCAGAGCGGAGCGGCGCCCGGAGCTCAGCGCGACGTTGGCGACGGCAGCAGCACGTCCAGCGCCGGCAGCAACGATGGCGCCGAAAACCTGCACAAGACCAGCTCAGGACACAGCACACGGAGCGAAGACCCGAGAGAGAGAGGCCACAGCGTCTGCACGGACCCCGAACACCAACCACACGGGAGAGATTACAAGAAGTAAGCCCAGGACTGAGGCTGTAGACCCAGACTGAGGCTGTAGATCCAGACTGAGGCAGGACTGAGGCTGTAGACCCAGGACTGAGGCTGTAGACCCAGGACTGACACAGATGATTAAAGTAGAAGAAAAATATTCTAAATGTAAACTTCTCCATCGTGAGATCAATAAAGTTTGTCTAATCTTATCTTAATTCAACTAAAAATAATTGTATTTAGGTTTTTTCACAATCACTGTGGCAGATCAACATGACCCATGACCCATGACCCTCATTTTTGTCAATAGGAATCAGAATATAAGCATCAATGTCCGTGTTTGGCGTTGCATTAAACCAAAAAGTCATACTTTTTGCCATAACCTTTGATCTTTATGCCCCATATTTGTAACCAAGTGTACCACGGTGGCCTTTGAACTTCATGTTGGGTGCCACGGGGTTAAGAGAGGACCCCTAAGTCTGACCTCTCAACTCTTTTTCAGTTTTGGCGGTTTCGGCAGACGTCACAGCTCCACTCCGGATTACCACACGTTCCCTCAGAGCTGCCGGCCACGAGGAGGATCGTTGTCGGATTTGGAGGCGCCCGTTCCCGACAGACATCAGCAGAGAGCGAGCGAGAGAGCGAGCGAGAGAGCGGCGGGACGCGACCTCACAGACGTCAAAGGCAAACACGGACACATCTGCCAGCAGCCGGGGAGGAACCGGTCCAGTCCGGAGCTGAGTCAGAGGTCCCCGAGACCCGGCAGGACCAGGGCGGTGCTGGGGAGTCCTGAGAGCAGCAGGAGGTTCTACCAGCAGGGCGGCGCTGTGGAGCAGAGCAAGGGCAGGTACGGCACTGTGGGGAGCTCAGGCCACCACAGGGGGCGCCAGAGAGCAGCGGGAGAAGAGGCCAGTCCACAGCACACGCTCTACAACGGTAAGAGACGCTACTCTACTCTACTCTACTCTACTCTACCCTACTCTACTCTACTCTACTCTACTCTACTCTACTCTACTCTACCCTACCCTACTCTACTCTACTCTACTCTACTCTACTCTACTCTACCCTACTCTACTCTACTCTACTCTACTCTACTCTACTCTACCCTACTCTACTCTACTCTACTCTACCCTACTCTACTCTACTCTACTCTACTCTACTCTACTCTACTCTACTCTACTCTACTCTACCCTACTCTACTCTACTCTACCCTACTCTACCTACTCCTCTACCCTACTCTACTCTACTCTACCCTACTCTACTCTACTCTACTCTACTCTACTCTACTCTACTCTACTCTACTCTACTCAAACCTACCCTACGCTACTCTACCCTACTCTACTCTACCCTACTCTACTCTACCCTACTCTACTCTACTCTACCCTACTCTACTCTACTCTACTCTACTCTACCCTACTCTACTCTACCCTACTCTACTCTACTCTACCCTACTCTACTCTACTCTACTCTACTCTAGTCTACCCTACTCTACTCTACTCTACCCTACTCTACTCTACTCTACCCTACTCTACTCTACTCTACTCTACTCTACACTACTCTACTCTACTCTACTCTACTCTACTCTACTCTACTCTACTCTACCCTACTCTACTCTACCCTACTCTACCCTACCCTACTCTACCCTCCTCTACTCTACTCTACTCTACTCAAACCTACTCTACTCTACTCTACTCTACCCTACTCTACCCTACTCTACTCTACTCTACTCTACTCAAACCTACTCTACTCTACTCTACTCTACTCTACCCTACCCTACTCTACTCTACTCTACTCTACTCTACTCTACGCTACTCAAACCTACTCTACTCTACCCTACGCTACTCTTCTCTACTCTACTCTACTCTACCCTACTCTGCTCTACTCTACTCTACTCTGCTCTACTCTTCTCAAACCTACCCTACGCTACTCTACCCTACTCTACTCTACCCTGCTTTGTGAGTGTGTTTCTATTTTGCTTAAGTATCTGGTTCCGTAGCTCAAGAAAGCTCAATAGGGAAGTGCTCATGGTGAAGTTTGGCTCTAACTCTGTGGTATTTATATTGTGATATTGTCTTTGTGAAAAGTACAGTGCCTTGCAAAAGTATTCGGCCCCCTTGAACCTTTCGCCACATTTCAGGCTTCAAACATAAAGATATACAATTTTAATTTTTTGTCATGAATCAACAACAAGTGGGACACAATCGTGAAGTAGAACAAAATGTATTGGATAATTTAAACTTTTTTAACAAATAAAAAAATGAAAAGTGGGGCGTGCAATATTATTCGGCCCCTTTACTTTCAGTGCAGCAAACTCACTCCAGAAGTTCAGTGAGGATCTTTGAATGATCCAATGTTGTCCTAAATGACTGATGATGATAAATAGAATCGAGAGTCTGTCCATAGGACAACAATCCGTCGTGCACTGCACAAATCTGGCCTTTATGGAAGAGTGGCAAGAAGAAAGCCATTTCTCAAAGATATCCATAAAAAGTCTCGTTTAAAGTTTGCCACAAGCCACCTGGGAGACACACCAAACATGTGGAAGAAGATGCTCTGGTCAGATGAAACCAAAATCGAACTTTTTGGCCACAATGAAAAACGACATGTTTGGCGTAAAAGCAACACAGCTCATCACCCTGAACACACCATCCCCACTGTCAAACATGGTGGTGGCAGCATCATGCTTTGGGCCTGCTTTTCTTCAGCAGGGACAGGGAAGATGGCTAAAATTGATGGGAAGATGGATGGAGCCAAATACAGGACCATTCTGGAAGAAAACCTGTTGGAGTCTGCAAAAGACCTGAGACTGGGACGGAGATTTATCTTCCAACAGGACAATGATCCAAAACATAAAGCCAAATCTACAATGGAATGGTTCACAAATAGACGTATCCAGGTGTTAGAATGGCCAAGTCAAAGTCCAGACCTGAATCCAATCCAGAATCTGTGGAAAGAGCTGAAGACTGCTGTTCACAAACGCTCTCCATCCAACCTCATTGAGCTTGAGCTGTTTTTTAAGGAAGAATGGGCAATAATTCCAGTCTCTCGATGTGCAAAACTGATAGAGACATACCCCAAGTGACTTGCAGCTGTAATTGCAGCAAAAGGTGGCGCTACAAAGTATTAGCGCAAGGGGCCGAATAATATTGCACGCCCCACTTTTCAGTTTTTTATTTGTTAAAAAAGTTTAAATTATCCAATAAATTTAGTTCCACTTCACGATTGTGTCCCACTTGTTGTTGATTCTTGACAACATTTTTTATTTTTATATCTTTAGGTTTGAAGCCTAAAATGTGGCGAAATGTTGAAAGGTTCAAGGGGGCCGAATACTTACGCAAGGCACTGTATCAGCAGTTGTAGTAGTAGTTGTAGTAGTAGTACTGTAGTAGCAGTAGTAGTGATTGTAGTAGTATTAATAGTACTAGTAGTACTGCAGTAGCAGTATCAGTAGTAGTTGTAGTAGTAGCAGCAGTAGTAGTAGCAGCAGTAGTAGTAGTAGCAGCAGTAGTAGTAGCAGTAGTAGTAGTTGCAGCAGTAGTAGTAGTAGTAGTACTGCAGTAGTAGTAGCAGTAGTAGTAGTAGCAGCAGTAGTAGTAGTAGTAGAGTGGAGTGAGCACGCGTTTTGACGTCTCTGCTCTGTTTACCCTTTTAAGCCTTTTAAAGCCTTTTAAACACGTTTTTACGGTGTATTAGTGTCTTTTGTACACTCTAGTGTTTTATTATCTTAAATGCAATGGTTCCAGAGCATCACGTCTTTTAACACAAAGACCCAATCGAAACGCGCTAGCTCGGAGGCTACCACGAGCGCACCACAGACATGGAAAGTGACACTGCAATGACCACGAACGACATTAGTCGCCTCACATTGGAGCTTCGTGAGAGGGACCGTGCCACTATTGCAGACCTCCGTAAAGAAGTCCTTCGCCTCACTGCAGAGCTGCAGGATAAACAGTCACTCGTGTCCAAACTTTTTGATGTCGCTGGCGGGCAGCACTCACGGCTTATGTCACTGAGCGCTGCATACTGTGACACTGTCGTGTGGGAGAGATCTGTCAGCTCTGGGCCCTCTTGTTCTACACCTAAGTGCCCGGTTCGGAATAAAGAGCCTGCGGACTGCGAGGAGCAATCCAGCGCCGTGGCCCATGTCCTGAGCCTTTCAAACCGCTATGCAGCCCTCTCCGCTGACATCCCAGCCCCCTCAGCAGAACCCCTGGACTCTGCAGCAAACTCTACTGCTGTCCGTGGATCCAGGTCCACTGCGAGAAAGACACTCTTAAAGGAAGCTGTCCTCAGACGAAAGAGTGGTCATTCCCCTTCTCTGACCCCAGTGCATCACCACCACTTACCTTCACCGGGTCAGCAGCCTGCTCCTCTCGCTGCTCCAGCGTCTCCGTGCACACAGCGTGGGTTGCCCGGAGCTGGGAATCAACACCCCCACTCCTCTCCATGTGTTCAGCAGCGCCCTGGTTCGGACCCATCCCTGGATGAGCCCGCTGGTTCTGGCCATGGACACCGAGCGCCCTCTCCGCGGCCGCGTCCACTCTTCGCCCCGACTACTCTGATTGTTGGAGATTCCATCGTGAGGCACGTCCGCTTTTTTAACGCGGTCACTCACTGCATTACCGGAGCTACTGTCCCAGATCTGCTCATCCGTCTCCCTCCTCTGCTTCACTCCCTGCCCGATACCATATCAAAGGTAATCGTGCATGTGGGTATAAATGATATGAAGCTGCAGCAGTCAGAGGTCACAAAGAAGCACTTTATGGATCTGTTCCGCCTCCTCCAGTCCTCCGGGTTATCCGTTTTTATTTCTGGTCCAGTCCCGACTGTAAACCGGGGTGACTGCCTCTACAGTCGCGTTGTGGCGCTCAACATGTGGCTCCAGTCTACATGCAGCACTTTTAACTTTATTTTTGTGAACAACTTTGGCCTGTTCTGGAAGCGTCACGTGGCCTATCGTCCAGATGGTCTGCACCCGAACAAATACGGCACCAGTTTGTTGACGGACTTCCTACGCCATGTTGTTCAGTGCTCCCCGAGGGGGGCGTGACTGTTTACATCTGAGGCTTCTCGGCCCCCACCACCCCCCTCCTCCTCCTTACCAGCACCGGGTGAGTACTGTGGAGCAAACACTGACCCCTGTCCGTCTGGCAGTGTAACGACAGTCCTGCCACTGAACTGTGCTGACTCAGTTATGCATCTGGAACTTAACAAAGTACAACAGAGTTCACTTTTTAAACCAATAGAGACTGTGTGTGTTCCTCGCACCAGCTCAGAAATGTGTTTTAACTTGAATAAACACAAATTTAAAAGAAGGACAGCAGTTAGATGGTCCAACTCTGGAAATCTAATTCCAGTTCTTTGTAATCAATCAACTAAACCCACTGACACTGATATTAATTTTAACCTTGCTCTACTTAATGTCAGATCACTATGCAACAAATCATTTTTAATTAATAATTTTATCTGTTCGTATGATCTTGATTTTATGTTTATGACTGAAACATGGCTTGACCATAATACAGGAGATGCAGTTTTAATAGAAGCCTCACCACCAAATTTCAAATTTGAATATGAAACACGAGAAAATAAAAGGGGGGGGGGCATAGCAGCAGTTTTTAAAGATCGTATTGTCTCCCATAGAGTGTCTCTTGGGAAATTTTCATCATTTGAGTATGTTTCTTTTAAAATAGAACAAAAGAAATCTTCTTCCATTCTTATTATTGTTGTGTACAAGCCGCCACAGTCATGCCATAGTTTCACTGATCATTTCACTGAGTTGCTTTCAGTTGTGTGCACAGATTTTGATGGTTTAGTCATTATAGGCGATTTTAATATTCATGTGGATAATGTTAATGACAGATACGCAAAAGAGCTGAGTTCCATACTTGAATCCTTTGGCCTCACTCAGCATGTGAGTGGCCCCACCCATAGCAGAGGACACACCCTGGACCTGCTTATCACGAAAGGGGTGAATATTTCAAAAGTTAATGTAGTTGATGTTGCTCTGTCGGATCATTTCTGTGTATTTTTTAACATGTATTTTACTACCAGACCACCCGCTAAATATGAAATTGTTAGAAGTAGACACTTAAATGAAAACACGGGTGAACTATTTATGGGAATGATCCATTTTGAGAACACATCATGTTCTACTGTAGATGAACTGTTTAACTCTGTCACCTCTAGTGTGTTGAATGTTCTGGACGCCATTGCCCCTGTGAAGGTAAAAATGGTCACAAATAAGCAAAAAGCCCCATGGATAAAAGCAGGCCCGGTCAGGGCACAGAAGCAAGAGTGCCGGAGAGCAGAGAGAAAGTGGAGAAAGTCCAACCTCCAGGGTGATTATAAACTCTTAAAAGAGAAGTTGTGTGAGTTTAACAGAGTACTACGTAGAACAAGAGAATTATACTTTTCTGAAACTATTGAAGGCTGCAGCAATAATCTGCGTGTTCTATTTTCAACAATCAATAGATTAACGAACCCCCCTGTTGAGTTGCCATTAGAACACTACTCCAAATCCAGGTGTAATGAGTTTGCACAGTTCTTCAGAGACAAGGTTCAGGGTATCAGAAATACCATCACCTCTACAACACAAGTAACAATGCAACATCCAGTGAGGCTTTGTGAGCTAGCTCAATTTGCACCTGTCAATGATGAAACTGTTAAAAAGATAATCACAGGTTTAGTTCCTCTACCTGCAGTCTGGATGTACTACCTCCTAGATTTCTGAAGTCTGTTATGTGTAGTCTATTACCCTCATTGACACAAATAGTAAACATGTCTTTTTTATCTGGAACATTTCCAATGGCCCTGAAAAAGGCAGTCATCAGGCCCCTCCTAAAAAAGAGCAGTTTGGATGCTGCGGTACTTGAAAATTACCGTCCCATCTCAAATCTGCCATTCATGGGAAAAATTCTTGAAAAAGTTGCCTACCAACAACTTACTGAATTTTTAATATCTAATGACTCATTTGACATGTTTCAGTCTGGCTTTAGACCACACCACAGTACTGAGACCGCTCTAGTCAAGGTAACAAATGATATTCGGCTTAACACTGATGCAGGAAAAGTCTCTGTTTTAGTCATGTTAGATCTGAGTGCCGCTTTCGACACCGTTGACCATGAGATTCTCATGCAGAGACTGGAGGACTGGGTTGGTGTTGCTGGTACTGCCCTAAGCTGGTTTAGGTCCTATCTAGAAGAAAGGAAGTATTGTGTGGAGATTGGAGACTATGTCTCAGATAATATGGCCCTGACCTGCGGAGTGCCACAGGGGTCGATTCTGGGACCTCTCCTGTTCAATATTTACATGCTGCCATTAGGTCAGTTAATTCAAAGTATGAAAGTGTCCTACCACAATTACGCTGATGACACTCAGATCTATGTCTCACTGACTGCAGGAGAGCATGGACCGGTGGACTCACTCCTTCGCTGTATCCAGCGGATCAGTGAGTGGATGCAATGCAATTTTCTCCAGCTAAATGCGGACAAAACCGAAATGATTGTCTTTGGTCCCGAGAAACAAAGAGAGACCGTCATTTGTCACCTTCAGTCTCTCTCCCTAAGGCCTTTAAATAAGGTCAGAAATCTGGGAGTAATAATGGACTCTGACTTAAACTTCAATAGCCACATTGGATCGGTAACATCAGCAGCTTTTTATCATCTGAAAAATATTGCCAAAATTAAAAATATTGTGTCCAGGGCAGACTTGGAGATTCTTATCCATTCTTTTGTTTCCAGTAGGCTGGATTACTGCAATGGCCTGCTCACAGGTATCTCCAAACATGCAGTAAAACAGCTGCAGTATATTCAAAATGCTGCAGCCCGAGTCCTGACTAGAACCAGGAAGTACGACCACATTAGTCCGGTCCTCAGGTCTCTGCACTGGCTTCCCGTGGCCCAGAGGATAGACTTTAAAGCAGCTCTCCTGGTGTACAAGTCTCTCCATGGCCTTGCACCAAAGTACATCCATGATATGCTAGTCCCATATGAACCAGCCCGGACTCTGAGGAGCGCAGGGACGGGACTCCTGTTAGTGCCCAGAGTCAGGACTAGACAGGGGGAGGCTGCTTTTCAGATTTATGCAGCTAAAGTCTGGAACAGTCTTCCTGAGGATGTGAGACTGGCTGCCTCTCTGTCAATGTTCAAATCCATGTTAAAGACTTTTCTTTTTTCCTGTGCATACAACTAGAGAATTTTATCTTTTTAACACACCTTGTTATTTATTGTTGTAACTTTTTGTGTTTTTAACTATTTTATTGTTTTTAATTACTTGTGTGATTCTTATGTTTTTAAATTACTTATGTGATTTTAATGCTTTTTAATTACATATGTGTTTTTAATTGTATTTTAATGGTGATGATTTGTGCATTGTGTGGTGTGGACTGTGAGGCGCTTTGTGTTGCCCTGTGCAGGAAAAGCGCCCTATAAATAAAGATTGATTGATTGATTGACTAGTCTGCAGTATGGTTTTCCTGCCTTGTCTACTGCCAACATTGGAATATTGTATGGCGTATACTCTGGCGCTTCAACAATGATTCCTGCCTTCACCAATTCTGAGACTGTGTACTTCAATTTGTCCTGGAGTCCTGCTTTAATGGGATACTGCTTCTGGTAACACACTTGGTCATCAAACAGTAGTTTTATTGGCAGGATTCCCTCTGCTTTCCCGATGTCAAATGCATGTTTTGTCCATAGCCTCTCAGGTAAAGTGTGTTTCTGCTCTTCAAATAGGTTTGAATTGGTATTTTCCCTGCCATGTGTCCTTGTTCTCTGTACTTCCTGCATAGTGGCTTTATATTCAATTGGGTCATTGAATTTGATCACATAACCTCCTGTGGTTTCACTATGCAGTACAATGTATTGTAATTGTCCCTGTTGCACACACATTGGTTTTAAATCACTGGCCAATATCAGTGCACACATTGGACCTAAATTCTTGGCCTCTGCTTTGGACTCAATCATCATTGTTACATGTGGTGTGGATTTGTCAACCCTAAATATTGGGAGTGTGTCTGTGTTTGAATTTGTGTTAGCAAACGCCACCCCATGTTCTCCCACCACTACGCAATTCAGCTTTTGTGTCACTTTAGGATCTTCTATTCCCTGTGTCTGGCATGCACTAGTCTTGTACATTTCCCACTCAATCAAATAGTTGTCATATGATTGTTGATCTTCTGGATGCCTAAAATATGCCTGTGTACAGTGTACGACATCTACTGGAGACCGCAAGTCCTTGCATCTCTCAGTAATCCATGGCAAAAATGGCTTAACTAGTTCATGCAATGTGTCATTGGATTCTTCACTACCCTCTAGCCAAAAAACTGTGGCTATGTTATCGTCAATTTTTTGGTGTTTTAAGTTTTTGTTCCTGCTGGAGCAACAGTTCAGTTTCGAGGCCACAATCCTGTATTAACATGCCCAACTCATTTGACACTTCAATTTCATTCTGGATAGAAATATCCAATTTCAAAAGTTTTATCAAATCCCTTCCCATTAGGTTGTGGGGACAGTTTGGGGCTATTAGAAATTCATGTTGGAAAGTCTGCTTTACTCCTGATTTATAGGTAACTGTGCAGTCTAGAGGTTTTGAGTAAAAAACTCTTGTAGCCAAACCATTAAATCCAGATACGATTTTCCACTTTTGAGAGGGCTCTAGACTGCATTTTAATGAACTAAATGTTGCTCCAGTGTCTACCAACAGTTTCTGAGGCTGTCCCTCAATTGTTATTGTGATAAATTTTGGAGCTACGTTAATGCATCCCTCTCTATCTGGACCACGGCATCTTCATTTCGGTAATAAACTGAGTTGATGAGCAGCGACCTCTGGTCTTGACTCTGTCATCTGGTGAGTGGTCATATACTGTGGCTGTGGTTGGCCCAAGACCATTGGCTGTTGTGGTTGTACCTGTTGAGGTGCCTGATACATCTGGTGTATTTGTGGTTGCTGGTATGGCTGTTGCGGTTGTGCCTGGTGCACTTGTGGTTGTTGGTATGGCTGTTGTGGTTGTGCCTGGTACACTTGTGGTTGTTGGTATGTTTGAAATGGAAACTGCTGCTGACCTCCTTGACCCTGCATGTGTTGCATTCCTCCCGTTCTGCAGTTTCTTGCTATATGTCCGTACCGTCCACACCTGTAACACTTCATGTTTGATAAATCTCTGTCCTGTCTAAATTGTCCACCACCTCTACCTCTGCTATTCCTGGGGAATGTCTGGAACCTCTGTCCTTGATTTCCATAGGGCATGTATCCATTCATTTGCCATTCATACTCTGGTTGCTGCTGTGTTTGTCCAGTCTATATAATCTGCTGTGGTTGCATCACCTGTGTCTGCGTCTGAGGCTGCAGTGGACTTGGATTACCACTAAACAACATTTCTGCTTTCTCCACTTTTTCTGGCTTTGGTTCAGATTTTTTAATCTCTTTAACTAATTCCTTAATCAGTGACAAACTATCATCAGTTTTGGGGCTGTTTTTCTTCCGAAGTAGCTTTTTAATAGTACAATATGACCTAACAAAAGCTGGCGAGTCAGTATCCAAATTCAGAATGTGTTTTTCCTTTTCAGCTGTCGGTAGTTCCCTGAGCATTCGCTGATAGAACATTTTTTTGATCAAATCATAGGTTGGGGTGGACTCTCTTGGATACAAAGCATCAAACTCCTTATTTAATCTATGCTTCATGGCCTCGGCTGTCTCTCCATCTTGCACTTCTAGATTTATGGTTTCCATAGCATTCATGGGCACAGGAAATAACGTTTCCATTTTTTCCATCACAGCTGAATACCATGCTTCCACTGAACAGCTGTTTGTGGCTCGAACTGCAACATTTTCAAATCCTGTGGACATGATTGGAAGATGGACACCGAGAACGGTAGTGAGATCATTTAGGGTTAAATTTTGAGCAGGATAGTGTTCCAGGATTGACAACAAACATGCTCTGCCCCCATACTGCCTTGGGTCTTTCATTCTCAATTTTATAGAGTCAATTTCAGTTATAGTGAGCGGTTTACATGTCCTGATCTCTCTGCCGGACCTAGATGTCGATACCACAATTGGACACATCGACACATCTTCTCCTTGTCTGCGCCTAGCTTTCCTCTTGTTCTGTCGCCTTTCCGGCTTCCACAGTCGTCCACACTCAAAATGTCAGGTTAAGGCAAGGCAAGTTTATTTGTATAGCACAATTCATACACAAGGCAATTCAAAGTGCTGAACAAGATAGCATTAAAATCATAAATAATCCCAGAACATTAAAAAGAAAGATAAAAATATAAAATCCCTCAGTTGTATGCACAGCTAAACAGCACCGTTTTTAACCTGGTTTTAAACATTGTCAGAGAGGAGGCCTGTCTCACATCTTCAGGAAGATTGTTCCAGATTTTAGCAGCATGAATCTGAAAAGCAGCCTCCCCATGTTTAGTCCTGACTCTGGACACTAACAGGAGTCCAGTCCCTGTGCTCCTCAGAGTCCCAGCAGGAGGCCAGTCCCTGTGCTCCTCAGAGTCCCAGCAGGAGTCCAGTCCCTGTGCTCCTCAGAGTCCGGGCTGGTTCATATGGGACTAACATGTCACTAATATATTTTGGTGCGAGGCCATGGAGAGACTTGTACACAAGCAGAGCTGTTTTAAAGTCTATTCTCTGAGCCACAGGAAGCCAGTGCAGAGACCTGAGGACCGGACTAATGTGGTCGTACTTCCTGGTTCTAGTCAGGACTAATGTGGTCGTACTTCCTGGTTCTAGTCAGGACTAATGTGGTCGTACTTCCTGGTTCTAGTCAGGACTAATGTGGTCGTACTTCCTGGTTCTTGTCAGGACTCGAGCTGCTGCATTTTGAATGTACTGCAGCTGTTTTACAGCCTGTTTGGACAGACCTGTGAGCAGGCCATTGCAGTAGTCTAACCTACTGGAGACAAATGCATGGATAAGAATCTCCAAGTCTGCTTTAGACACTATGTTTTTGATCCTGGCAATGTTTTTTAGATGGTAAAAAGCTGCTGATTTTACTGATTTGATGTGGCTATTAAAATTTAAGTCCGAGTCCAGTATTACCCCTAGATTTCTGACCTTGTTTGAAGGTTTTAGGGAGAGAGACTGTAGGTGACAGATGACGCTCTCTCTTTGTTTCTGGACCAAAGACAATCATTTCAGTTTTGTCTGCGTTTAGCTGAAGGAAGTTGTTTTGCATCCACTCACTGATCTTAACACATTTTGAAGATGCAGGTACATGTTAGCTAACACATGCAGGTACATGTTAGCTAACACATGCAGGTTCATGTTAGCTAACACATGCAGGTACAGGTTAGCTAACACATGCAGGTACATGTTAGCTAACACATGCAGGTACAGGTTAGCTAACACATGCAGGGACAGGTTAGCTAACACATGCAGGTTCATGTTAGCTAACACATGCAGGTTCATGTTAGCTAACACATGCAGGTACAGGTTAGCTAACACATGCAGGTTCATGTTAGCTAACACATGCAGGTTCATGTTAGCTAACACATGCAGGTACATGTTAGCTAACACATGCAGGTACATGTTAGCTAACACATGCAGGTACATGTTAGCTAACACATGCAGGGACATGTTAGCTAACACAGGCAGGTTCATATTAGCTAACACATGCAGGTACATGTTAGCTAACACATGCAGGTACATGTTAGCTAACACATGCAGGTACATGTTAGCTAACACATGCAGGTACATGTTAGCTAACACATGCAGGTACATGTTAGCTAACACATGCAGGTACATGTTAGCTAACACATGCAGGTTCATGTTAGCTAACACATGCAGGTCCATGTTAGCTAACACATGCAGGTCCATGTTAGCTAACACAGAGTTATCGCTCTGGGGAAGCACTTTCTTTTTAAAGCTACAAATTTGTTTTCAGTGAATATTCAGTACTTCAAAAGGTGGATCTATCCATCTTTAATTTGTGAAGAATATATGATTGAAATGAATAAATACACTAAAAGAAAACATGTTTTCAACTTCTTGGGACACATTTAACTTTTGATAAGTGCCGGTGGTCCTGACCTAAGGAATGGAGATGTTTTACTGAATTGGATGTATGCACATACATGCTTTGTTATTACTTATTTATTTTTGTTTATATCTTATTTTCTATGTTTATTATTATTATTTTTTCTTGTTTGTTCTGTTTTGTGGTTGTACTTTTGTGTTTTATGTTGTGTTGTTTTTGTGTTCATGTTCTTGTCTGTTTTGTGTCTTTAATTAAAAAAAGAAAAGCTTCTGCAACAGTTTATTGTCTTTGTTTATTTATGGCTGATGAGTGGCTTGGAATAAAAGTATCCACTCCCCTCTGTAAGAACTGCATTTGACTTTATCACTAGTTTCATTATTTACTTATATTTGCCTCTTCAAGTCCAGTCAAGGTTATTTATGTAGCACATTCCGTACACAGGTCAGTGAGCTTCTTGCCTGTGGTGGCGAACATGGAAACAGAATTATCCAATGCATTCTTAAGACGTCTTCTTTTCTCTCAATTTCTTTCTCTGTTTACAGCCTGCTCCAAAAGTCTGCTCTTGGCTCAGCGCTAAGTTCCTGATGTGTGTCAAAGCCCCAGGACTAAAGACTAAAGTTAGACCAGTGACCCTGGTACTACAGCTCTGAGACGTGGGCCTGGTGCTACAACGGCTTCAAAATTCAATAAAAAGTGATCCGCGAGGCCCAGGGACACGGAGGGATTCTGACTTAGAGGCGTTCAGTCATAATCCCACAGATGGTAGCTTCGCACCAGTGGCTCCTCAGCCAAGCACATGCACCAAAAGTCTCCCCACATTTCAGGCTCCAAACATAAAGATATAAAAAAAATATTTTTTATCAAGAATCAACAACAAGTGGGACACAATCGTGAAGTGGAACGAAATTATTTAAACTTATAACAAATAAAAAACTGAAAAGTGGGGCGTGCAATATTATTCGGCCCCTTGCGCTAATACTTTGTAGCGCCACCTTTTGCTGCAATTACAGCTGCAGGTCGCTTGGGGTATGTCTCTATCAGTAAGACTTATCTTTCAATTTGTCCACCTTTTTTTCTTTTTTTTTTTTCATTTCAAAAACTCTTTTTATACATATATATACATAATATTGAAAAAGTTAAGAACGGTGAACAATTTACAATTATGTTTAATAAACATTAAAACATTTAAGAAAAAAACAATAAACTGAATGAACAAAACACACAAAAAACTGATCAATCCTTTTGGGTTTGTCGGGTCTTTCTTTTCTTTTGTATGTCCATCAAGACCACCCTTGGGCTTTTGACCGGGGAGTATTTACTTTTAATCCTCTTAACACTTCTCTGGATCTATAAAGAGGAAAAAGAAATCAGGAAAAAGACCACAAGACTTTAAGTTATGGTCAAATGTAAAGTGTTATCACTCACATAGCTCGGGGAGCGTGTTCTTTTGGCGCCTTCACCTGCCGCAAGTAGCCGCCGGCGCACTGGGGTCAGCGCTGCTGCTCGAGAGCCGCCAGAGAAGGAGGTCGACGGTCCGGGACGATTCTCGGCGGAGGTCGACGGTCCAGGGAAGTTCAGCGGTTCAGAAGGCACAAGACATGCCTTCTCCCCACAGCTCAGTGCAATAAAGCACTGCCGCATCTCCTTCGCCTTGTGCACGGTTTTGTAAAGTGCGTAAAATCGCTCCTGGGTGTCCAGACTGTGGCACATAAATTGCGCCACAGATTCCCGGGTCGCCCTGTCGCAATTTTGCTCGAAGTTCTGGAGAAAACAAAACGGAAATATAAGCGAGAAACCTATATGGTAACAATAGGTACATCTTTCATTTCAACTTACGAAGGTTGACACCGCCGTCCGGATGTCAAGGAAATCGGGCTCACCCTTGAGCCCGATCTCCTGCCACGCCCGGATCATGTACCTTTTAAGGTCTTTCATGACCCCCTTGCCGTTGTTCGAAAAAAAGAAGCGGTTGGACGGCACCCCCCGGTTGAGCAGGCCCAGCCACCGGGTGCACCAACCATATTCCTCTGGGGTGAGGTATATCTGGGCCATGCCATATTTATGCGTGGTTTTGTGATTGCTCACCTGCACAAAAAGGAAAGTGTATACCATTTGGTGTTTCTGTAATGGGCGTTCACTTCTAGATGGGAATTGCACATAAAATTGTCGAGGTAGCCAGCGTTTTCATCTCCCTTGGCCTCCCTGACCTCCCTGGCCAGCAGGTTTGTGTAAACACATGACCTGTGGCCATAAATGGAGGCCAGGTAGGCCGCCAGGTGCCCGAAGAAACGGAAGCGGCTCAAACAGTCCTCGATGGGCGCAGCCTCCACCTCATCTGAAGAGACACACATAAATTACAACCCACTCAAAATGTCAGGTTAACACATTTTGAAGAAGGATATTACCCAGGAGGGTGGGGATGACATCCCTGCACGCCTTAATGCAGCGCGTCAGGTCCTCCCGGGAAATCAGCCGGTCCAGCTTTTTGGCCTTGACGGCCTGCTGGTGCGCTGTCACACGCCGGCTAAAGTCCCGGGCCAGTTTGGCCACTTCGTGGTGGAGGATCCTGATGTGCTGGCTGGAGATGCGGCTGCCCTTCTGGCCGAACTTTATCTAGTACTCGAAAAAGGCCTTCGCGTTGGCCAGAAAGATCACCACTGTCGTGGGTTCTCTCCCAAGGGCCTCCAGGAGAGCAGGGTAGCTTTAGAAAGACATATTTCAATGTTAAAAATTCAGAAATACCCCCCCCCCCCCCCCCCCCCAAATGATTTCATACTCACACTCTTATCATGGCGAGGTTGTCTATGAACGTCCAGTCCCAGACCCGCTGTGTCTGGACGTCCCTGGTGCAAATTAAAAAGGCCAAAAAACATTTGGCCCTGGTGCACATGCTGATGCAGTTTTGCTGCACCTTTTCTTTCGCCGTTGCCCTGAATACGTAGTTGGCGTATTCATCCATTTTCTCCTCTGCAAGTACAAAGTGAAGCATTTTGTAAATAAAAGGTGTGAACATTTTGCTGTTTTACCAGGATCTCAATATGAGATGTGTCTTGCTCAAGGACACGACAACAGTGTCCACAAGCAGGACCATGAACACGTCTCTACTTACGGAGGCTCTTGGTAAAGGTAAAATTATCCGTGCTGCCCCTCCTCCGGACCATAAATATGGCCACCAGGGCAGGGTGGACCGGCAAAGTGCGTTCCTCCTAACGATAGAACAGAATTTCACCATTTCCGCCGGAGAAGTCATTTGACCTTTGTCAAAGACCTTTTTACTCACACTTTTGTCTCCTGCGATGAGGGAGATGTTTTGTCTAATGTCCTCCAGGTCCTGGTGCGATAAATCCTGCATTTCTTTATCATCATCCTCCTCCTCCTCCTCTTCCTGGATCTTCTCCAATTGTGCAGCTGCAAGTGCAAAGAAAGATGTTGCAAAAATGAAAGGTAAGTATCAGAAAAGGTAGGTAAAGTGTCTTGCCCAAGGACAACAGTTCAGTGTGCACACGAGGGACTGAAAACAAGTCTTTATTTACAATGAGGGATGGACGGGTCCTCCTCTTCCCCCTCGTCCTCCTCGTCCTCCTCGTCCTCAATGCGGAGCGGTCCTTGTGACCCCGTCTCCACCACAACTTCCTCATCAGATGACTCAGTCTGCATTTAACAGGACACATTATAACCAAAGTAGTAGTAGTAGTAGTAGGAGTCATCAGGATAAGTAGAAATAGTAAAAGCTATTACTAGGTGAAACTCACAATGACCGTTTGGGATTTGGGAGGCGCCCGCCTCCTCCTCTGGCGAGTTGAGGGTCCCGCCTCTTCCCCGGCGCCACGCAGCTCCGCCAATTCCCTCTGCAGAAAGAAATACAAATACCATGTAGAAATATGGAGATAGGGAGACAGATAAACAGATCAAAATATTGTACCTTCACACACTCCAGCTCTGCGCGGAGGTCCTCCAATATTTCGTCCCTAACAAGACAGGCGGGCCGCCCGCACCCTTCCTCCGCCTCGACCTGAAGGTCCAGCTGCGTGACCATGGGGGGGTCGGGGTTGGAGGCCCTCAGCTTTGCCAAGTCCTTCAGGCATTCCTTCTTAGTTTCCTTCAGCAATAGTTTTTCCCTTCTTTCCTTAGTCATTTCTTTGTGGCAGCCCATCACGTGCTTACGCACGTGTGCCACTTTTGCAAAGCACCCCCTCACTGGGCACCTGCCACCAGAATGGGCCCGCCGGCCGGTGACGAACCGATTCAGGAGGTCACGTTCAACCTTGTTGGCCACACCATGAAAATGTATGTGTCGCGCAACGAGGTCCCTGGTTGTGCCACAAATCGGACACACCCCAGCCTTTTTGGTTTTTGTCATCTGAAAAAAAAGAAAATGTTAAAAAATATATATACATATGTATATTAATAGAATTGTAATCATCTCCCAATAAACAGATGAATATGTAAACATCAATTGTTCAACACAAAAAAAAAACAACAAAAAAGATGGCGAACGGACATGTGCGTTTCAGGTGACATAAGCACAAAAAAAGAGAAAAACGATTTTTTTATACAGTAGGTCCCATTCCGTTTTGTCGCCTTTCACGCGTGAATCACACGTGAGTCTCGTGTGATTCACGCGTCTTTTATTTTCCCCCCTCCCAGTGATGCTGCAATGACCAAAACAACCACCAGGTGGCACTTGTGAGCAGGGTTACATTGGCGAGTTTCTGCCCCGCACACAATGACAATCTGTCATTGATCCATGCTCCCAGCAGACTCGAACGAACACGAAGTGGAACGTGAAGTTTAATGTAAGTAACTTTTCAATTGTTTTTCATGTGACAGTATATTCATTATTGTCTTTGGGTTGTGTTGCATTGTACACATGTCGTCATTGCGTCACATCAGCGTCGGCTAACATTATATTTTTAGATGCTAGGTATTTTTTCTCCTGCGTCAAAATGGAACTGAGAGATATTCAACTTTTCGTCACATGAAACAAGGCATAGCCTATGCTATGTTATCTAACGCTGGTTTAAAACTCAATTGAATATTAGTTTAGCGTTAATCGGACTAATTTCCATCCGCGGGAAATAAGGCACATGGTGTTTGCTAGCTTAGTTAAACAAGTTAACCATTTGAAAAGAACTAAATAATTTATTTTCTCATTTTCCTTGGAAGTAACACAAGGCTACGCAATGTAAGCAAATAAGTATAATACAGCTCGGAAACTTGTGTTGAAACAATCGCGTCAAATACTACAGTTCCCATCATGCTTTTGCTTTGTCACGTGTCCTCCTCAAACAACAACAAGCACAGGCATGCCTTTATTTAGCAAAGAGTTTGGTCTCGTTTCTCAAACGTAAATCTGGGCTGTGTACAGAGGACTGCGTGCTTCGGTATGTACAAACGACGCTGCGCGTGATTTGATTCATAGCGTAGTTAATGTTGTAGCGTAGCTTCTTCTGAGGCCAGTTTTCATTACTTTCATGACTGTCTTTCTTATATCGCTATGCACTCCACTAAACATGGCTGATACTTAGTTATTATTGCTTAACAAGTAGATACGTCTTTCCGTTTTTTTCGTTTGGAGACTGAAAATATATCCCAAAGCATTTATGTTCCCCCCGTGCAACTAAAATTGTATGAATTATTTGTGAATTTAGACAATTAAATAATAATTATGTGAACATTGTGAAATTAATCACAAGTAATGTAATGTTACAGTATATTTGACAATTTATAAATATTACATTATTTATATATTATACTGTAATGTTAAAGTATATTTTACAATTTTCTTTCAGATTCAGGAGAGAAGTGCTGATATTGACACCAGATCTTATACCCACCACTTCTACTTTGGTAGCTTCAATCAGGTAAAAATGTAACTATACATTTGGGGATTGACCTAACTGGGCCCTTCCCCAAAACTACTGATGGCTATCAGTACATATTTACAGCCACTGATTATTTTTCAAAGTGGGTAGAGGCTTTCCCATTGAAAACCAAGACGGCTGCGGAGGTTGGGCAAAGACTTTGCTCTATAATATACAGGCATGGGTGCCCGAAACGGATCCTGTCTGATCAAGGGCGGGATTTTGTAAATGAGGTGAATATTGCTTTTTGTAGTTGTTACTTTTTTTTGTTCATACTTTCTTATTCATTTAATTTTCATTGTTTTAGCTCAATGATTCTCTGTGCTCTCTGCTGGGCATTGAGAGAAGCGTCACCGCTGCGTACCACCCACAGACTAATGGGTTGGACGAAAAGACCAACCACAACATCAAAAGGCAAGAAAGATATGTATAATTTAATCATGTGAAGCACACATTAAATATATGACTGATGGCAAACCCTACATGTTTTAATTTCCCCCATTTAAACAATGTTCGGAATGTCTTTCTCAGAGCTTTGATGAAGTTGGTGAATGAGCAGCAGAACAACTGGGACACATTCCTTGATGCCACACTGTTCTCTTTGAGGTCAAAGGTGCACATCTCAACCAAACACACCCCATTCCAGTTGATGTATGGGCGGGAGGCTGTGTTCCCCTCAGAGGTGCCTGTAGATTATCCTGTAAGTTCCATTCGTTCAATTGTTGGGTTACACAGAGGGGGAAGAAGCTGGACAAGGTCATCAGTAAGTTCAGCTCAGTCATGGGCTGTTCCCAGTGCAGCAGGTGGGGGACCATGACTGTCACCCCCTGCAGGACACTCTGCTCTGGAGAGCAGCTTCAGTGAGAGCTATTCATCCTCTATGTGTGAAGAAGAGGTTGCACAGGTCTTTCCTTCCTGCCGCTGTCAGACTGTACTGTGAGAACTGCTGAGCCTGTACATGTCATCTCGTCTGTAAATAAGTAGTAAGTAAATACTGTAACAATCACATTTTCCCACTGTGGGACAAATTATACCTTATTTTATTTAGGAGACAATCATGGCACTTTCTTGACCCACCAATCAAAAACAAGTGGAGGAAAAATCAAGAGGCTTTTGGAGGATTTGAAGAAGGGAAAAATAGCAGATTCACCAGGTAGGGATAGTAATGTCAGTAATATTTGTTACTTTGCATCTAACGTTTTTCCAATGCTTTTAGGACACTGCCAAATGTGACAGCTACACACCAATGGAACTTGAGAGTGAGAAGGCGCTTGACATACAAACAGAACAGGTATGTCTAGTAGTAAATATTACAATTTATTGTATTTTCATTATAAATTGAAACTTTTGTGTTTCCTTAGAGCAATGAGGTAGGAGGGAGTTTTTACATGGAAAAAGTCTTGAAGCGGACTATAGTGTCACTGATTGTCACACGCAAGTCAAAACATTTCTCTTGTAACCAAATTCATTGTTTTCTCAGGGTATGCCCCATTGTACAAAGAAGAGCTAAATGAACAACTGATTGCCTAAAGATGTGCAGAAACCCGTCTCCGAGCACCAGACATCACAGCTGAAGCGTTATTCTTTGTAATAATTAAGAATACAAATCCTGTTAACATTGAAACTTTTTTTTGCAGGCTTTTTTGGGCAGGAATGCACTTGAATGAAAATGTCAAACGTGGGCAAGATTCTTCAAAGGGGCAGTCTTTATTCAAAGTTCCAACCCAAAGTACAACAAAAGGAAAGCAAACAGCAAAGCCAACACTTGGTAAAGAAATAATACTGTACAAACATTACAGTACAATAACTTAATAATATATTATTACAGAGGCTGACCAGGACAGAAAGCCAACGCACTGGCCTTCAGGATCTGTGAACTCTTCGCGTATCCTGAGCACATCACATGCAGGAATGACCTGGCTCCCAGTCGTCCCGAGCACCAGCTAACCAACTCCACAAATCTGAGACTCCTGTGGAATTGGACACGTATGTTAATTATTGTAATTTGCTGTTTGCGTAGTGTACTGAAATGTTTTGTCCCTTTGTCTGTTTCATGGTGTGACGACGAGACCATTTGCACCTGCTGACTGTCCTCCTTCAGCCCGACTCGTGGGCTGCACCCCTGCCTGGGAGCTGCCTCAGTCCTCGTTCTGCTGCCCCAGTCCCGCCCTGCGCCCTGGTCCATGTTCTGTAGCTTCGAAGTATTTCAGAAGATTTTCTTACATTTAGATGCATTTAAGCCATCCCCGAAAATACAAACACTGAAAGTCAAGCTACTGTCCAAAACATAAGAGAAGCAATTTTGTTCAGCATAAGAGAAAAGGCCACAGATTTTATATAATTTGATGTTGTTACTTTAGCTTAGACTCTAGCTTAGACTAGAATATGAAAATTAGTCATTAAAACATGGACATGTTAAATTAATTGACTATTCTTGAATCTAGTAACTCCTCATGTAACAGTGTTTTAATTAGGGAAAATGTGAAAGAGCTCGGCCACTTCTAAAATTACCTCGGTCTGGAGCCATTGAGATTTACTGCGAGAGGCTAATGCTACAACATCCTGGTCTTTAGCTGAACAGAGGCTCAAAGACCAGGCAGGTGCATCATCTCATCTAAGCTAATGACATTTAATTATAGAAAATCAATGGCCTATCTCTATACCATTCCCATTGCATCCTTTTTGTGATAATTAAGTTTTCTGTTGTCATGTGTTCTGCTTTTAAGGTCAGCTTTAGTTCATCTTTTAGTTTTCATTGTTGATGTGTGAACTTAAAAGTTTGTCAATAAAACAGGTTGTTAAATGTTGATATTTGCATATTGTTTTTTCTTATTAATTCAATAATAATGTAATTGTTACACACATATAGTACTTAATAAGTATTATTGCAATGATATGAAATATACTGATAAAATATAAATAACATTTATTCAAGTTATCCATTATTGTAAATGATCTGTACACATAATGGTTACTCAGTATATCTATTTCACACATAAATAACCTAAAAAAAATCACATAAACCTTACTTGATTATTTTATGTGATCAAGTAAAAAAAATCACATTTGTTAAGTAAGGTTTACTTACAAATAACATTCAGATTATACTTGATGAAATAAAAAGTTTTACTTGATTTATAGTAGTAATCTTTAATTATATCTTCGTGCAAATACTTACGAGGATTTTTTTAAGTAAATGTTAATCACGATTTTTTTCAGTGTATAACGTAAACTTTTGCATCACGTTGGTGATCTTTCCAAAAAGAGAGAATATCGTTATGGAAAGAGAAACTATTGGTAATATAACGCTGAACGTTATTTGACTCAAACAGCTTGGAACGATTGGATTACAAAATTTGGACATCATTTGGAACAATCTGGATTTCTGAATTTGGACATCATTTGGAACAATCTGGATTTCTGAATTTGGACATAATTTGGACTGAATTGAATTACTGAATCTGGACACTAAAGCTGAAACGTGCGATTGAAAGACACGTCACAGAAGAATTCATGGCTTGACACAAATGCAGCCTGAAGAAATCAACACGGAGAAGTGGGAGAGACTGTTTTCAAAGCAATATCTGAGAACCATTGACTGATGAAGTTTGGTATTTTACTGAAGATTGTTGACAAGTTTTATGAAAGATCTGAAAATGTTTTATGAGTTTTCTGAGTTTTTTGAAGTACCGAGTGAAGTACCGAGTTTAAGTATTGAGTTATGTATGTTTGTTCTACGTAAATACTGTATGTGTGCTATTTTTGTTGCACAATGCTGTAGAATTGCAAAGAGCATATGCAGTAAATATGTGAAAGACATACAGTACATACATATATATCTCACTAAATACAGTCACAATGAAAACATGACTAAATCATTTGACTGTTGTTCATAAACACTGGTGTCAGGACACAGACACAGACCGTTTCATTGACATGAAGACTTTCTTTTGAGGAATTAAGTTCATTTTGAGGAAGTGACTTTTTAGCAAGTTAAAGCAAGCAAGACTGTTTTCAAAGCAATATCTGGAACCACCATCGACTGATGAAGTTTGGTATTTTACTGAAGATTGTTGACAAGTTTTATGAAAGATCTGAACATGTTTTATGAGTTTTCTGAGTTTTTGAAGTATTCCGAGTTCTGAGTTTTTTGAAGTACCGAGTGAAGTACCGAGTTTGAGTTTTTAAAGTATTGAGTTATGATGTTATGTTGCTGTTTATCGATCCTGATGGTCACAGGTGAATGTGTGACCAGAGGGGGGAATGTGAGATTTCATAACACTTTTAAACAACTTTTGTTAAAGTTAAACTCATCATTCTATCAATGTGCAGAAGCCTGTACTTTTCCCTTGTTTTGTCTATCTGAAGGCCAAGCTACATGGCACCGTGGAAGCTGCTGATTGGAGGTCTCCATGCCTCCGCTCTGTATAATACACTTGCATTTTGTTGTTCGTGTTGTCTCTACCATCGACAATAAAACATGTCTTCTGTCTGAATTTAAGACGCGATCCCAGACTTTGTCATCTTCTTCAGGTGGTGGAGGATGCGGGCCTTGTCTGTAACATCTAGAGAACAGAAGACTACTTTTTGTTTAAAGTCATAATTTCAATATTTTTTATTTTTATACACACATTATTAACTAAACTGTTGCGTTCTAATCTTTTTTTAGGAGGAGGAGAGCGCAGTCAGGCCAGGCTCGCCTCGCACATCTTAACACTAGAACTTGTTGATTAGCATTTGTATAGCTCACAGCATTGTCATTTACATGTTAAAGCCTCCTGTGGAGGAGGGAGGAGGGGACAACAAACTACCGTCAACAGCCGAATCCCAGAAGTTTCACAGTAATATACAGGGCCGAAAAGAGACAAAAATCACACTTTTCACTTTTCTCAAAAAAAAGATGACTTAAAGGAACAATATGTAAAAATCTGGCCAAAAGTGGTACTGCAGTCATAGTCAATATTTTGTAGTCCTCTCCCACTCTCCCTCACTCAGGTTGCCAGATTCACACCAAATCCAGCAGCAAACACAGGGAATTATTTTATCAGTTGTTTGTCCGTCTCCATTCACATTGCCATGACAGCCGTGCTAATGCTGAATGAATGTTTTGATTAATGTTTTTTTATTATTATTATTTGGACATTTGAGATAAAAAACAAAAACAAAATAAAAGCAATGTAATTATACATAGTTTATGCAAAATAAATAAGCAATTGATGTCCAAAATAGGAGTGGGAAGAATGGATGTTGGAACGTATTTCTTCAGCGTATCAACATCAGGGTTTGCTCAAGAGGATATCACCTTTCAATTTTATTTATTCCCTATTTTTTAGACAAACATGTAAAAGTTCCACATCAAAAAGAGACTAACATTATTTTAATTGGGGTACATGTGGTCTTAAATGATTATTTTTACATTTAAGCTATAATCTGCAAAAAAAACGTCTTGACCTTCATCTTTTACCGTTTTTAGAGCAATCTGTCATAGAATGTGATAACATGCAATAAATACAAAAATACATAGCGCGGGATCGAACCCAGGTTCCTGCATCGTAAGCGCGCAGCTTAGACTGCTAGACCAGGGGTTCACACGATCAGAGACACTGACTCAATTGTTCAGAGCCATCCCTATATAAATCCTCGTTTTAGTCTTTGTTTTGTCATTAATGATTTGAGAGTCATAACAAGACAGTAAATACCAGAAGAAGACCTCACTAAAAAATCATGAGAGGCAGATCGCTTTCAGAATGTCTTTATTTTCGAATTCGCATAGAATTCTATAGACAATACATAATTATTTTAAATATATACGTTAATGCAATTCGTATTATAAAGATAAAGATTATAAAGAAAGAAATAGCATTCAATAGAAACCTCGATAGAAACCTCAACCTTTCACCTCGATTTTTTCAGACATTAAAGACAAGATGTTATATAATAATTGTTTAATGAAAAAACAATTTTGCCACAAGCAACCAAAAGATGTGCCTCAGACAAGAATCGAACCTGGGTTCTCCAGGTCCCAGTCTCTAATGTTATCCATTTGGCCAACATAGCACCTCTGGGCTAGACAGGTTTGCACGCAGTCTTATACCTGAGCGTCTAAGTCGCTGGCAGAGCTAAAGCGGACTTAGCCTGCCACCTTGTGGCGATAAGATGTACTATTTTTCACGCAGCTGCGTGATTCCCGAGAAGCGTGAATGAAGACGACAAAACGGAATGGGACCTACTGTAGCTTTCAAAAACGACCAAAACCCACCCTAATCATCTCCTAATTCATCATTATTTCATAATAATCAACTGTTCAACCAGAAAAAAAAATATAAATAATAATAATAATAATTAAAAAAAAGATGGTGGACTGTGACGGAGCGCCAGTGACTGCTCCGTCATGAACTGTGTGGTGCTCTCTCCCTGCGCTGAAGAGAGGAGCGCGTCTGCGTGCGTGTGGCGCGGCATGCCGGCAGGTCCGCGCTAGTAACCGCACGGCCCTGCATCAACACAAACTCTTCCCCTGCCAATACTATCCCCGTAGCGCACAAGGGTGCACACTTGCTGCCTACACACACATCTCATCTTCCCCCATACACAACTCACCTGCTGCTTGTCTCGGTCCACTGGCCAAACCGAGGCACTTCCTGGTCGCACCATATATAGCGCAGGGCGCGCGCATGTGACTGGCCAGAGGACTCTAATTTCTTAAAGTATTAAAAATGTGTTTTTTTTTCTATTTGTGCATTGCTATATGGGGCAAGGGAGAGGCATGTTCACACTGAGGAACAGGGAGGGAACTATGTGTGGGATTTCGTTGTTTTTCTGTTTAGAAGAAAAACCCCTGTTAATTTATTAATGGGTTAGCCCAGGGGCGGGGCTAACTAGTTAAAAGAGTGCGTGCTCACTCCGGAGGGTGGTCTGTCAGTCTGTGAGTGAGCTGGAGTGAGCTGGGC